ACCTGCCTATTTGTTATATGCATATAGATTTAAGCTGAGAAAGATTGAACTTATCGTCCCTGCTTTATTTTTATTACCTATCTAATTCGTTTACTTATTGCGGAGTTTTGATATCAAAATATTGTTTAAAAGTTTCTATAGAATTTACAGAAATATATTAAAATATTTTAAATGAAATAATAATTTTATATGACATTAAAATAAGTTCAGCCGTTTTCATAAAACTCTATTATGGATCTTAGCGATTTATTGCTTTTAATAATTAGAAACAGTTTGCAGCCGGAACTTTGTTTATTTCATATTATTTATAATCATTGATTAATCATATTATGTTAAAATAGTCATATCCTGTTAAGTTCGAATCGCTTTAAGATTACTAAAACAAGGTTTTTTTTTATTATTTACTTACACATTTACAGGTAGGTAATTGATACAAAACATGGCGGAATCTAAGAAAAAGTGTCGTCAGTACAGTGTTGAATATTTAAAATTTGGTATTCTTCCATCAAAGGCAGACAAACGATTGCCAACATGCCTTTTATGCAACAAAGTTTTGAGCAATGACTCTATGAAACCATAAAAGCTGGAAGATCATCTAAGAAGGTGTCATCCTGATAAAATAGGTAAAGATTTGAAATATTTCCAAACATTAAAGAGAAAATATGAAAAGAGACCAACCGTGCACAGTATATTCTCTTCAACGTCTGAAAGCAACGATGATGGCTTGCGGGCATCTTACAATATCTCATTACTTATCGCAAAATCTGGAAAACCGCACACCAATGGAGAACAGTTAATTTTACCTGCTGTTGAAGATGTTTTATAAAGTGTTCTGCACAAATTTTCATTTGACATACTCAAAAGAATTCCTTTGAGTAACAACACTGTACAAAGACGTATTGATGAAATGAGTTCTGATGTTGAAAGTTTCTTGTGCGATTATCTATGAACAACTCATTTTTCTATTCAATTGGACGAGTCAACTTTATCTGGCAATGAAGCATTATTATTATTGGCATATATTCGATTTTTTATGGGCGAAGAAATTCATGAAGAGCTACTATTCGTGAAAACTTTGAAGACGGACACTAAAGGTGAACCAGTATTTAATGTTTTGAGTGATTTTTTTAAAGAAAAATCGATTCCATTCACAAACGTTATTTCGGTGGCAACAGATGGAGCTCCGCCATGGTCGGAAGCCATCTTAAAAGAATTATACCAGGGACCGTATTCTTGAGTCGTAGGAACGGCGTTCCTATAGGAATAGAGGGCGTGTTTCTCCTGAAATTCGCTAAGCCCGTATTCTTGAAGTCATAGGAACGTTCACTTCCTACGAAAGTCGTAGGAACATCGTTCTACTGGTATTTCGTAGGAGAACGCCGTGTTCTCTCAAGAATTATTAGTAAACGCATGCGGGGCAGCTGATTTATTATTTTTGGCCCGTAATTAAGTAATTTTTTTAACTTTTTTCATATTCGTACATTTCGTATTTTTATATTTTTAATAAAATCATTATTGATAACAAAATTAGAAAAACACAAAGAATGATTGTTAAAAATGTTAATTTAATCCCATTAAACTGAGAAAGTGATATTTGAAAAGTTGAAATAAAGTATAAGTATTGACAATAATCTAGTTAAGCTACAGTTAGTTAAAGTAGGTAGCACGGAGGAAGGATAATTAAGAGTTGCAGATTCCGTAGGTAGTAAACAAAAGTTATAAAAAAATTTTCGAAATAAATTATAACCCTTTATATAATAAGTTAGTTGAAAATATTTCAAATTTCTATGAGGCGGTCACTCCAGTTTATATAATTAGTCTAATCTATATATTTGTAAACATATGTATTGAATTTTCTTTACCGAATTTTTATTAATAAAATTATTTATTTGATATTAATACAAACTTACTTTTCTTTAGCACAAAATTTAAAACAAAATCGACTACCTATACTATAAATTTCCGGTTTGCAAATTTAATTTTTAATTAAGTATCTTAAAAAAGTGAACTCTGTGATGGCTGTACGTTTTTCTTTTCCCTCTTCTATGCTTTTAATAAAAAAATATATATATTTTTATCATATTATAGAAAACTCCTACGAAACGACCTCTTAATCACAATCTTAATTTCTATTTCATAATTAATATTCTCCAAATATGTCAAATTCAATACGGATAGGTGACAATTTTAATATTTTCTTCTTTTATTATCACAAAATTATATCCAGTTAACAAAATATAGTTCAAATGTCTACAAAAATCAAGAAAAAGAAGATATTAGAGTTGGCAACACCGTGCACTTTATTCCCCCGTTTGATCACGTTCACCGAGTTTCGGGAATACGGCCAAACCACTTCGAGAGAAACGCTGTAGGATGTGATCGTTCACCTCTCCTATAGGAACGCTCACATCGTCCAAGCTCGAGAATCGACGCACAGAGGTAATTGCGATTCACTGTATTATCCACCGACAACATCAAGTAGCGAAAAATTTGAGTGATAGATTGCACCAATCGCTTCAATTTGTGATTAATGCAGTTAACAATATAAGAAGCAATGTATTGAATACGCGTTTATTTGCACAATTGTGCGATGAAAATGATGAAGACTTCCAACGATTGTTGTTACATATCAAAGTACGCTGGTTGTCGAAACGTGCATGTTTATCAAGATTTTATTTACAATTTGACTCAGTTTTAGAGTTTTTGGAAAGTAAAGATCCTGATTAAAAAAAAAATTGATCAATTTTAAAGCAGACATCGCGTATTTGACAGATTTGTTCAAAAATTTAAATACCTCAACTTACAATTACAAGGGGACAGCCTCAATTTAATAAAAACAAAGAGTGTAATTTCAGCTTTTCTTGGTAAATTGAAATTTATGAAGGAAACTATTGGTCGGCGCGAATTTTTGAGTTTTCAAACTTGCCGCAGGTAAAATGCCTTGATGAAGATATTCAGACATACGTTCAACATTTGATTGCCCCGCATAATGATTTTAAATTCAGATTTTAAGATATTCTGTCGATGGAAATACCACCATGGATAATAAATCCATTTGATGAAACGGAAGTGGAGAATGTGTTATTACAAGAGGAGCTACTCGAGCTTAGCACTAATGAGGACCTGCAAGTGACACTTAAAAGAGGGTATCATAGCACAAGAAAAACTTTGCATTAAACCTATTGAAGAGATTCGTTCCAAACACGAATTACAGTATCTGCAGTAATACGTTCTGTCGAAGTTATTTTTGCATCGTAATACCGTTTACACTCAGACCAAACAAGTTCAATTGGATTGAACTGGCAATGATATGGAGGCAGTCTCAACACACGATGGCCATGCAAAAGAGCTAATCTATCTAATCTGTAAAATGTGCATTTTTAATACCTTATTAAATTATATCATATCATACCTGTATACTTTATCTGGTACATGTTTCTTGGCAATTTTTAACAATTCGAACTTCATACTAGGCATTGGAAACTGTATATTCCTTTCTTTTAACCAATTAATCAGAGAAACTTTGTTCCAACTTGCATTTGGTATTCTTTCGAGCAACATTGAATGGTACGACGCATTGCCCATTATTATTAATGACGGTTCTTCTAAGCTTGGTAGAAGCTGATATTCAAACCATCTTTCAAAATTATCAGCATTCATTGAATCATGATAATCGCCAGATTTACTACCACTTTTAAATATCAAGCTACAGTCATTTTCAGAACCCGCATGAAGAACAATGTATCGTACACCTTCACCACTCTTCTTTCTGACTGCCTCATCGGTACCATCCTGCCAGCTTTTGCGAAATCCTCCTTTGCTGAATATCCAAGTTTCATCAAGATATATAGGCTTGAGACGATGAGAATCACTTTCATTTTTTTTAAATCTCGTAAAAAAACAATCTTTTTCGTGTAACATGTGAATGTTCCATGAGATATTTTCTGTTAGAAATGTTACAGCTTATCCACTTGAATTTTAACTTTTTTAAAGCCCTACTGAGTGAAGAAACGGATGTATTTATCCTATATACATCTTCTAATTTTTTCTTCAACGCATAAAGGGTCACATGCTCACCCGCAATAAGAAAAAAATGTTTTAAAACTAACCCTTGAAAATAAACTCATAATGAACCAGTAATCAAATTTGTTTGTGAAATGGAAACATAATAACATTGATGAAGATATTTAGAACCTTATACAATCAAATATGTATTTAGTAAATACCAACCTTGACTAAACATTCTGTATATACAAGTCCTGATACCATGTTCATATTTCTCCCGAATATTGGGACCACGGCTAATGCTCACATAATCGGATATTTTAGCAGAATATTCGCGATCTGCTTGAATACCTTTATTTGCCAATCGTCCTAGAGTCGATAGCGATATTCCTAAGGCGGTCGAAACACGCTAAAATGAATTGATCATCAATGAATTTTTACTAAACTTTAAGATGTGAAACTTATTTCATGTATAGCCGCTATGGAGATGCATCCAAGCTATAACTGCCTCCGTGGCGATGCTAATATTTTCCTAGTAAGCACTGGGAATGTTAGCAAAGTCCACAAATGTGTGGTTGGCTTCTTGAGTGATCTCCTGTTAATTTGATTTCATCGCTAGTTCCATTCTCTTTTGAACTTGGCTGCACCGTACTGATGAAGACCAATAGTCAGAAACACGTGTCTACGGTTTACCTTTAGGCAATTTTTTAATTTTTTGCGGTATTTGCCCAATAATCCTTTTATCTTTTATATTTTTTCACCGCACTAAACCTTCTTCTATTATATATGCAAGATGTTGAATTCTTGGCGCCATAGATAGTTGACCATATTTTTTTTTTATTTTTTTTTTTTTTTAGAAAAATGCGTTTTATAAAAGGGAATTAAAATAATTTCAAAAAATATAATCTAATTTATTCATATTTTTATTTCAATTTATTTACAAAACCGATAATTTAATCCTTAAAATATTAATCTTAATATTAAACTTAGATTGTAAAAAGAGTCTATTGAATATTTTGTTACATTAACAAACAATTATATAATTCCAATTTCATGTAATTTATTCCTCATTTTAATAATTGTGCCTTCCCAAACTGTTTGCAAGGGTTCTCTGACTGTATCAACAGGTAGATTCGTCATTATACTAATGGCAGCTTTCAAAGTCGCCACCATATCACCTAAAACAGATAATTACATGGTTTTATATAAAAATATACTGACAAGTGACACATTTGACAATTGAATAAACGACAAAATACAGATTTGACAAACAACAAAAAGTGACAAGTGGCAGATTTGATAAACATCTAAATAACGAGGACCTCGTAAGTCGCAAAATCAACATTTTTCAGGAGATAAAAAAAAACGATTTACAAGTGCATAGAACAATCCATTGTACTCTATAATAGGACTAATATTTACCCACATTTTATTAAAAATTGTAATACTTCCCCTATACAGTAGTTGGAGCAAAATGTTTTAAACGAGATTATCATAAAATACAAGGTGTTCCTAAACATCATGTCATAATTGAAGGAGGTAATTCTTTGGCTCATATTATGACTTAAAGTTCATTTAAACATGTGTCATAAATTGCTTTATTTCGAAGATACAGGGTGTCCAAATTTTCAAAAATAATCAGTTTTTCATCAATATCATAAATACTATTTTGCCGATTTTGATGAAATTTGGTACATTTGTTTGTCTGAGTAAGAGGCTAATTTAGAATTGATTAGATCGAAATTATCAATTCCAGTGCAGTGCCCAAAGACAACCTTATTGATATTTTTGACAAAAAAAGCACGCCACTGTGTTTCTCCATATTGGAATTAATAATTCAGATATAACTAGGTCAAAATTAGTCTCTTACTACAACAAATGAATCTGCCAAGTTTCATCAAAATCGGTCGAAGAGTGTTTATGATATGAATGAAAAATTGGGTATTTTTCAAAATTTGAACACCCTGTATCTTTAAAACAGCAATTTAGGACACAAGTATATATAAACTTTTAGTTATAAATTATGCCAAGTATAACCTCCTTCAATTATGACAAGATGTTTAGGAACATCCTATATAATATTTAGTGGAAATGTTAGTTACGAGGTCCTGCGTTGTGTGTCAGTAACTAATTTGAGAAACGTCTAAATACAAGTGACAGATTTGACCATTAAAAAAAACGTCAGAAACTCACCATTACAATAAATATTGTCAATAGCCTTTTTTAACAGATTTTGTGACGCTTGTGCGCTTTTGATTTCTCCATCTTTGATACACTGACATATAGATTCTGCTAGTTTTGGTAAAATGTTAATACTGTTACCCATTATACAGGTAAAACCGCTGGCCACTGCTCCAAGCATTACCTGAAAGGATAAAAATTATTTTTTCGAGTTACAATTGGAGCAAGAATTTGTTTCTTACTTCGTCAGTACCCATAAATACAACGTATTTGTCAGGGTTCAGCGTCAGCGCTGTGAGTCCATCTTGTAAATCATTTGTTGTGTATATTACACCAACGAATTGTTCAACTTCTCCTGTTATGTCTAATAAAAATGCAGTCATGTCAACTGAAACATGTATATTGATAAATGACAAAATAATTAAATTAGACATAAATTTAAATCATCAATATAGAATAAAGATTGTTAACATTTTGGTTGAAACATGATAATAGTCTTTTTAAGAAAAAGTACTCATACATTATTAATATTAAATGAGGGGGAAAATGGGAGTATAGTAAAAATAAATAAAAAAATTAAAATAAATAAAAAATAATTAAATTAATAAAAATAATTAAACGTTATTAAAAATTAATAAAACTTTTAAAGATTTAGCTTTAGAACGTGAAAGTTGTTTTTTTGTTTTTATTTTGTTTTTGTTTTGATTTTGCTTTTTTTGTTTTTTTTTTCTTTTTCGTATTCTTTTTCGTATTCTGTTTCTTAATTTTTAGTTTTTTAATATTTTATAGAATTAAATTTAAATAGATATAGTATTTTTTACAGGTATCATCTAAATCAATTAATATTCTATTTTTAGATGATTTCTTTGGAATAAGGCATAAGATTTTGTATTTAAAATTCAAAAATTGTTTATATTAAAGCTTTGAGTCCCAAATTAAAAGACTTTCTTTGGATTTGGTTTTATTTTAAATTTTTTTTTGCTTCATTTACTATTACATTTCTACTACAAATTTTCCTGTTATGTTTATTTTACTGTAAATTTTAATAAATATATTTTTAAAATTATTTGTTTTGCTGTTACATGAGTCGTATGTAGGGATTCCATGTACATAGCCATTTTTTGTTAATTTTTTCCTGATTTTTTGATCTAACTTGGGTTTTGGGATTTTACCAGCATTGTTACTGTTACAAGGACAGAATGAGATTTTGGCTCCAATTTGGATCAATTTTTAATACTGAATCCAACAGATTTAAAGTTAAACATTTAGGTAACCCTTTGAGCTAGGAATATGCGGTTTGTAGCATTGAAGTTTTCCCATTGATCTCTACAAAAAGGCATACAGTAAGTAGAAACCCGATTATCTGAGGTCCTGCCTTGGATAACAAAACACTGATAATCCGAATGGAAGAAGTAGGTACTAGTTCTTAAAAATGCTATAAAACACTGAAAAGTAATTTACATGAATATCTACACGGGAATTATCGTCACACCGGTGGGACTGGTCAGGGTTTCTCTGATGAAATTTCGTTTTTCATAGAATACATTTCAAAAACCACCTTTTCTTCTAAGGAAGAAATATCAGAAGAAACTTTATTTTCCAAAGAAGAGATATAAGTTTTTATAGAAGAAACATCAGATAAAACTATATCTTCTAGGGAATAAATATTAGAAGAAATTGACGAAATTATAGAAGATGTATCATCCGAAAATGGATACATTTGCGATTTAAACCTTCACTTTCTATTGCTTCTTTAAGCAACTTGCCTTTCTTTCCTGTCGTCTCCAGTTCACGTTCTTTTAATACTCGATGCTATTTTTGCCCACTATTTATTTGTTACGTTCATTTATTTTTCTAATTCTACATATAAAGTGACAGTTTTGTAATCGCAGCAACTGTCAAAATGATCTACTTTATGCAACCAGTAGCATAATGTTGAAAATTATGAAACTGGTTTCGAAAAATTCATTATGTCACCAGTTGTGAAAAGAAAACAAAAATACACCTTTTTTTAATTAAATAATAATAATAAACGTACTTTATTGGCATAACCAACTGGCCATCGACCGAAGTCCTTCAGCCTGTTTTTTAATTAAAAATCAATAATATACATTATTGAAAGTTTAAATCAAAGAAGGGCAAATTGACGTATAAAAATAGAATTTAGTTAAACTTACAACCTAGTAACAATGTTGTTTTGGTCCTTATTTTTCCATTCTAAATCAGCACAAAATAATTAAAACCCTATACACGACAAAATAATCCACTTTCTTGAGATGTATATAACTTTAACAATATAAACACACTACAACAAGTCGTTGAGAATAAATTAATATTATTTTCTATTTGCCAATAAAAGAATGAAGTTAATTATAATATGCAACTAACAATAAAAGAAAGTAGTAATTCTGGTTGCCTAGATGTCAGTAATTTTTTTTACCAAAATACAATTTTATAAATAATCTAGCCTAAATTAAAAAATATTGCATGTAACACGAAATACCGTTCAACTCGTAAATGTTGAAGGACCTCGCTCTGCTCTGCCCGCAAATATTCACAACTGGTTTCATAAATAGCTATATAAAACAGTTTAATCATTCTAATTTATATACACTAAATACACCAACTTTACTTGTAATCAAAACTACATTCATTTATGCAAAGTGGTGCAAAATGAACGTTATGGTTTAAATGCTTTATAACATTTTTATTTTTGAATAAACTGTGAACATTTTTTTGTCAAAATACAGCATAGTGTCACGCTAAACAAATATCACCCTATATATAAAATATACATTTTCTATTTTGATATACATTCGTTACATTAAAGAATTCAGCATAATGTTTATATAATATTTTGATAAACAGTAGATTCAAAACAGTGTAAATTATCTAGGGACAAAGTTCTATAACGCTCTACCTTTTCATATAAAATTATCAAACAAATATAAAAAATTCTGTAAAGTTAGCAAAATATACATTTTCCAAAATAATGCAAAGTTTATCAGAATATTCCAAGAATAACGGACTTAATACATGGTTTTTTTTTTAAATAGTTTTTTTTCTGTTTCTTGCATAAATTGTTCAAGTTTTATTTTTTATTTAAAAAAAATGTTTTTTATTTATTTCCTTTATAATTCATTGAATATAATTAATATAAAATTTTAATTTTTGTCAGCCCATACAGGTGTTCTCACCTAGGTGCTTGTTATTATATAATTGGTTTCCATTATTGTACTTTATTGTAACTTATTTATTATTGTTACTCATTGTAACTTATAACTATTAATTCACAACTTCATCTTCGATAAATGTAAATATAAATCTGCTGGGTCAACAATAATGACACTCTTGGTCAGAGTCTCACCCTAGACTCTCTGCCGGAGTTTCATACGGTACTTTCATCATCGTCTCGCATCTCAATAGAAGAAGTGACGTGGCGTGCCCTCGTCGCCTTTAGATGTTCAGCCATTGGTAAGACCCTTTGTTATATTTATTGTGACTTTTTGGATATTTTTATTTATCGTTAATAAATTGTTAATTATTGTTGCTCTTTTATTTTCCCAATTCAGTTAGCACATAGAGTCACTATTTAAGTGACTCCTTCACGACCGAAAGGCCCGTGACAATAGGAATAGAGAATATTGTTAACCTAAATGTGAAAAATTACGTCTCCACAAAGTTGTACTCTTTTCAAGACATGTTGCTTGACTCTTCGCAAAATTCTGGGGTTATGGCACGGATTTCATTGAGAATATTGTTTTTTAGTTCAGGTATGGTCTGTGGCCCCAAAGAAAAAGTCTGGAGCGGTCAAATCCGGCAAACGCGAGGGCCAATTGAAATCGCTCCTACACAAATTAATGTGTTCGCCAAATATCTCCCACAACAAAACCATGGTGCTCCTTGCAGTATGGGCTGTAGCGCCATCGTGTTGAAACCACATTTGAGGGTGATCTGCCACACATGATCTTAAAAAATTTTTCATTGACGATATGCACACTACATCAGAATAACAGGGTTTCCATTTAAAAAAAAAAAATATATATAATAAATAAATAAATTAATTTAATGACTTTTGTTTGTTGTCCTAATGTGTAACTCTTTCATTTCAAATTCCCCAAGCCTTCTTTACCGAATTAACTTTCATTTTGCGCCACCCTGTATGTACTTTAACAATTTACTCAAATGGCAAAAGAATCCATTTATATACAAAAATGTCAGAAATCACGATTGCACATAGATTTTTTATAAATGCCCATATCGATTCTTGAATTTAGCTCAAAAAATTTAGTGATTCGGAATCTCATCAATGAGACATACAAAATGGTAAATATTACATGAGAGAAGGTGGGATGGAAATTTAATGTACTCATAGTTGATAAAATGTTCTCTAGTTCATAGAAAACTGACACAATATGCATTCTGCACAAGCAAGCGAGTTGGTATGATCTTGTATAACGTCTGTGCAAGGTAAAACCACGGTGGCATTATTAGTAATGGTAGAATAGGATTTTGGCTCCAGTTTGGGCTAATTTTTACTACTAGATCCAATAACTTTAAAATTAAATAAAAAGTAAATGTTTCAGTTATGAATGTATAAATATCCCGAAAATTTTTAAAAATGATATGATTTTTTAAATTTTTAGAGAGAAAAAGGTCTCCATCCTCACCAAATACAGATGTAATATGCATTTTGTGCTATCTAATCTGTATAAGCATCAAGATGGATTGTTCCTAAAGGCAGAGAGCAGGATTGTATATATCAAATTTGGAGAAAGTTTAACAGAAAAAATCAGGGTTTTTGTTCAATATCTGGGCAAATATTTGAGCTAGGAAGATTCGGTTTACAGCTTTGAATTTCTCACCACTGTTACAACCCCAAAAACTTAAATTTGACCAAAAAATCAGGAACATAAAATGTCTATGGACATGGACATACCAGATGAGATTAATGTAAACACAAAACAAACAGAAACAAATATTAAAATTTATAATAGGCATTATAAATTAATAACAAAAATGTAATAGTAAATAAAAAAAAAGGATTTAAATAATTTTTTGGAATTAATAAAAACAAAACTGAAGTTTTCGTCTAACTAGAGCATAATAAAGACCTTTTATAGATTTTATGTTAGCAAAACTTATAGTTTGTCTAATTATGAACCCCAATATTCTATTCACAGCCTTGATTAAATTTTTTATTGAACATAATCTGTACATCATTCTATGACCTTCCAATTTAGAAAATATTAAAAAATAACGTAATTTTTTAATCTACTTATTGTCTTACTGCTGCATTAATAAGCAATAGGCCCTATTAGACCGATATTGTATTTTATTCAATACAAATAAATGACTCAATCATTTTTGAACCAACACCATAAGAAAATAACATCAAATTTTTTTTAACTTACTATTATAAAGTTGGGTATATTTTGGATAATGATGGTATAATATTGGAACTTTCTCTGTGTACTCCGATATTATTTTAATATATCTTATGAGATCTAAATGATTTTTTGGCCTGTGGTAAAGGTCAGCCATAAGAACAATGGCGCCTACCTTCAATTTTTCTGCATGTATGGCCTGAAATGCAATTTTCATTTTAATTATTACAATAAATTTTAATTATATACAATCTTACCATTTCAATAACAGATTTTAAAGGTGCTCCACCAACTTGTACCATCAAAAATTGATTTTTCTCTTTACAAATGTCATACCAAAATTCGACTAGTTGCTTTCTTTCTTCCGTGGTTAAAGACATACCTTCACCAGTAAAATCATTTACTAAAATATTGAAAATATTTTATAAATTTATTCAAAGTTTTTTTTTTAGTGACTTACATAGAATTCCCTTAACTCCACAGGCTTTTAAAAATTTTGCATAAGGATTAATTAGTTTGTAATTAACTTCTTTACCTCTGAAAAATTGACTTATTTATTTGCATTAAACAATGTAAAACGTAACTTACCTAGACTTTACAAATGGTGTTATTACAGGACAAAGCAACCCTCTGAACAGAAATTTATTCTACAAAACAAAGTAAATATTTACAAACTAAATACACAAACATTAATTAAATGTTACAACCTGTACTGACTGTGTAGTATTCGTCAAATGCTTTTTATGTTTCATAGCACTCATGTGTTTGAAAATTTCGGTTTTACCACATTTATAGTCCTTTTTACAAAACCTACAATAAAAATAATGTGGACCATGCACACTTTCAGATATCCAAGGCTTAACAGCAGGTATAGCTTCCCATTCTTTTTTGTATTTTTGGATATAATTCTTCTAGAAAAAGTTTACATATAGATAATGCTGTATAAATAGTAATACTACCCCCAAAAGTATAATAAAATAAAAATTAACCTTTTTCTTAGGCGAATCATCATTGTTAGAAGCTTTGGATTTACGTTTTAATTCCTTCTTCTTCTTTAATTTCTTCGAAAGGGGTTCGTCGGAATCTGTATCGGTAATAGCCTCTAAATCGTTTGGTTCAAAATCAGATTCATCTGAGGCTTTGAAATCGGAAAACAGGTCTTTTGCTGATTTTGCTATCGGTTCTTCTTTGGGCTGTAATGGCTGGGTGACGTTTACTTCGATAGCGTCTTGATTATCTGAATTATTCGTATTATTTTCCATGTTTGGGAAAATGTTTATATTGTGAAAAGTTTGTGTTTCTCATAGGGAAGCTAAAAGCTAACCTAAAAATTATTTTACAAATGACAGTTTCGACTTTTGACCGTTGACAGGTCAATTTTATTGGTTCAGGATCCAGTGTTCGGCAATTTAGGTTTTCCTACCTCCTTTCAAATTCAATCGTTTGAGTGTACAGAGAATGTGTTAAGGCCCAGTTGTACCATTTAAGTTCAGGCGAGGATCAACTAAACTTGGTTTTGATTGTGACATTTGGATATAGTCAGTACGACGTTTGTCACAGTCTAAACCAGGTTCAGTTGAACCTCCCTTAAACTGGAGTGGTACAACTGGGCCTAAGTGGGGTACAGTTTGCGTGGATTAATTTCCGTTATTGCGACAGTTCAACTATAGTTATCAGGTAAAAACCTTTTAAAAACCCTTCGTGCATAATATATACCTCGAAAAGACAAAACAATTGTCCCGCTTCAAATCCTGGTATAGCCGAACTTTTACTTATTCTTTAATATCTTAAATTCAAATCAAATTATTGAAACAACTTGTATTTTATTTTCGTTCATATGTTCGTTGCAATTCAATTTGATAGAAGAATTAATAGAAAAAACTATTTTATAAATTTTAAAAATATTTTTATCGGTTGGTATTGTTTAGTGCGTTCTAGTGCCGCGTTTGAGAATCCACATCGGATGCATCTGAGATGTTGTGAATTTTTTATCACGTGATAGAGAATTAGATCTGAATGTAGATGTAATAAACAAACGCTCTAGACTTTATTTGGTCACGTGACAAATGTCAATGACAAGTTAGAAGTTTATACTTATTAAATTTGACTTTTGAGACTACAAATCAACCTAAATTTGAAATATAAACAAAAATTAAGCAAACTAATCACTTTTATATTCATGCTAGCATAAACAAAGGAAAAATTGACAAACAAGGCTTCACAGAACACTTACTTTCTAGCATGGAACAAACATCTCATTCACATCTCATTCACATCTCATTTCAAATCGAGATGTAAAAAATGTAATCTGAACAGGTACATCTGGGATAAAAAAACGCAGATGTAGATTATGCTGCGTTTGATGCCGCGTTTGAGAATCTACATCGGATGCATCTGAGATGTAAAAAATCTTTGATCACGTGATGCAGTATACGTAAATGTAATGGGACAGACGTGTCCGATGTAGATAAAAAAACGCTCGAGATGTAAAAAATGCATCCGATGTGGATTCTCAAACGCAGCATAGGATTACCCTAATCTATGGTTCTAGTGTCAAATTCAGATTTCTGATGTGCGAACTCAGCACGTTACGTGTTGAATAGAGAGAGACATTACATAATAATCGCATTCTATCGAACGAAGATATGCTTCGCTCGACATAAAAGCCGTATTAAAAGATGAGAAAATAGGAATGAGAATCCCACTGGGACACGTTCAGGAATAACACAAACACACCCAGTGTGAGTGTAATTTTAGCGGTGTGACTAGTTGGTTGTTAGTTGAGCGACGCCTGCTTGGGACCATTCCTACATTGGGATTATCACCTTTTAATTCAGCACGTGTTGAGGCGACTATCCTCGTTCCACAACATGCGATTTGTATGTAATGTCTCTCTCTATTTGATTCATTACGTGTTAAGTACGCACATAAGAAGCCCTGTCCCAATTAGGGATGTTGCGATACCAGTAAAGTATCGATACTGGTATCGAAAGAAGTATCGGAACCAAAGTATCGATACCGGTATCGAAAGGGTATCGGAACGAAAGTATCGATACCTATATCGGAAAGAGTACAGAACCAAAAAAAAAAAGGTCATAGGGTATACACCGACATATCATACCATAAAGTGATCCTACAATATACATTTTGTAGTAAAATTATTGAAACGAAAGTAGTAGTATCGAAACAAAAGTAGTACCCATATGAGTAAAGTATCGAAAGCAAAGTATCGGGTACTAAATTACCCGGTATCGAAAGAAAAGTATCGATACCAGTATCATATCAGTAGTTAGTAGTATCGCAACATCCCTAGTCCCAATTTGGGTGTAGCATATATATATGCTCGAAGGAAAAACAACAACTATATATTAAACTGGAAGAACAAAGCCGATCAACAAAATCAAGCCGTATAGCCAGGTGATATTTCACACTGTGACGCCCACACGTGCGTATCGAAACACAATAAAAAGGAACATTAAAATTAAATTTAACATTTAATACATTCAACTACGACACCTTTTAATTTAAGAAAATCACTTAAAAATTATTTTTGATTAATACGCAGCTGAAAAAAATGTTCCAATAATAACAAGTATTATTAAAATGGCGCGTTATTATATTAAAACAAAATAATATAACTTATCATAGTACGCCCGTCGAAAACGTGACGTGGAATGCTCGAAATTGACAGTCTGGAGTCCAAATTGTCATGCGCACCGACCATTTTTTCACCCATGTCGGCTTAGAAATTAGGAGAAGGGTTTATTTTATAGCTATCCAGTTTAATATCAAGGTCGGTGGGAAAAACAACTGAACTATAGGCATTTCTTTATAAGCTTACCAGAACATACTTCTGTAACCAGAGCATTTCTTTATAACGTTTGGTTACTCGGCTTTGGTTACATGTTACCAAAGCATATGTTGCTATATCTAACGAGGCATTTATTTATAAGCTTACTAGAACATACTATAATAAAAAATAACAAAGTCAAAACATCCTAAAATTTCTAAAATTCAAATTCCGCTTAGAAATCCCCAAACTTAAATTAAATTTGACATATGACATTCAATAATAGGGAAACCATGGTATGCGTAATGTCACCACAGTAACCACAATTCTGTAACCAAGTATGTTGTAGTAAGCTTATAAAGAAATGCCTTAAATATTAATCTGGAAGAACAAAGCCGATCAACAAAATCAAGCCGCATAGCAAAGTGATATTTGACACTGTGGCACCCACACGCGTATCGAAATGCACTAAAGAGGAACATCAAAATTAAATTTAACACTTATTACATTCAACTACATCTTTTAATTTAAGAAAATCACTTAAAAATGAAACAAATGTTCCAATAATAATAATAATTATTAAAATAGCGCGTTATTAATAAAAAATAATTTAACTTATCGTAGTACGCTCATGAGAAACGTGACGTAAATGCTCAAAATTTACAGTTTTGCGTCCAAATTGTCGTGCGCATTGACCATTTTTTTTTCACCCATATCGGCTTAGAAATTAGGAGTAGGGTTTATGTATAGTGCTATTCGCACTTAGTAATTGCTCGGAGATTCGCACCGCTAATAGAAGAAATAAGCCAAGCTTAAAATTATATTTTTCCAGTTTAATATCAAGGTCGGTGGGAAAAACGGTTAGACTAGGTAATAAAGAGAGGACGCGTAATAAGTATATCGAGCACACGTAGTATTCTGTGCCGAATATCTATTGGCCGCCATTATTTTGGTGCTAATCATTTCGGTGACACCAAAGTTTTTGTCTGTGTTTATTTCTGATTTTTTAATTAAACGACATTTATTACAATGGTTTATTGTGTGGCATATCAGTGTTAAAGTTATAGCGGCAAGAAATAAGCAGATATTGCGTTTTACAGGTAAATGATAAACATCAATCGTTTTTTTATATATTTTCTTATATTTTTTATTTGGTGTTTTACAACTTGGTATTTACATATTGTATAAGTCTCACTACAGAGTAATAAATTTTACCACCAAGTTTGTTTATTTTATGCTTTTCACTGATATTTAAGCAATTAATGATATTAAAATGGCCAAACATGTAATTTTTTCCAGTGGAGTGTCGTACAATTCTAAATATCAACTTTTATTAAATCATAATATACTTTTATTACTTCTTATTTTATTGCAGCAATGTTTATTAGTTGTTTTATTTTAGATTTCCTGTGGATCCAGCAAAAAAATATCTGTATTCAGGCAACGAAAATTGCAAATTGGATGCCTACGCCAAATTATAGTGTTCAAAACATTTTGAAAGACATTTTTTTTATGGGACGGACTGTAAAAGACGTTTACTAAATGGAACAGTTCCCACTATATTTCCTGAATTTTCTAAATACATGCAGCCGAAGAAGGTGTGTATACTAATAAAATATAATTAAACATATATATATTTTTAATTACTTTTCATTATTATGTTATGAACTTTTAAGAATTTAGCAACCCTCTTGTGTATAATTCAAAACATTACCGTAATATTTGATTGTTTGTAGTACTTATAAAGAAGAGCATTGCATTTGGAAGCTGAGCCAGGCCCTTCAGTTGGAACTTCAAATAAAGAATCTATCCTAGAAAGCCCTAGCATAAAACGGCTTAGCAGACAACTTTTACAACGTAGAAAATAATAAAGAAAAAAACAAGAAAAATCAAAATTCTTGAACAAAAATTTAAAAAATATAAAAAAAAGATTTGTTCGCTAAAACTTGTTATTGTACCAAATTAGTATTATTTAAGGGTCAGCTATAAATTTATTATCTTCATTTATGTATAATTTTTGTTACTAACTTAATTTAATAATATCCAGATAGCACACTACATCTTAAAGATGTCCAGTTCATGTCTTACTTTCGTCCAAACGTCCTGGTACATAAAACGGACGGTATTATGGACGTTCAACTCTTGTCGCTATATTTAAATATGGCGCCACGTCAGCGTTGTTAGCTCTGCCTGCAGCGCATGTAGATCGTCATTGTCATTGGCTGATTGGAGTCTCGCGCGCGCGTATCGAGTCGTGTCCTTCCTCTAGCTGCCTTCTTCTCGGGACCATAGATAAATTAATATTAATTTATCTATGCTCGGGACAGCCATTGTAAAATATTTTTAGCGTCAGTCTGTGGACATTATCAATACTTTTTCATAGTTGTGTTTTAAAATTAGGTTGATGACCTCAACAAACATTTTTTCCCCAGGGGTGCGTTCAGAAATCGAGAGCGTCAAATTTTCAAACGTCCGGACAAAATTCGTCGAAACGTTTATTTTTCCCCGATAAATCCGAACGGTAAGTGCAAAGTATGTGCAAAGTATTGTCAAATCAAGTTTTTGATTGTGTTTTCTGTTATGTGAGATTGTAGGAATTGTCAAAAATTAGTAACGAGCACATAGACTTTTTTATGTAAAAATCAATTCATTACCTTCCGACAACTAGACGATAATTAATTCTCTCACTTATACTCATATTTAAATATTTTTTACTCAAAAAGTAAAAATAGAAAATTAAAAACTAGGTGGTTCTCTTAGGTTAATTAATGTTATGACATACTGCGCAAGTCGAGTAAAAATTACCCCACTTAAAACGGTGGGTAAAATTTCTTTATCCTGACGTGTTTTTCTTTTAAATAGGAACGGCTGGGGTAATTTGTCTAGAGAAAACGTTCCATATTTAGAAACGCTTTTTAGAATTTAGACAACGTCCGGACGCATTTACCCTACATTTCTGAACGCACCCAGCTGTCACTCTGCATTCTTTAAAATTTCAATTTTTAAAATGTAGGTTAGGTTTGAATCTATTTTTATTCCAATCACACTATTTTTGATAATTATGCAGAAAAAAAGGTAGTACTTGAGCTAAAAATGTCGCAGATAATGTTAATAATTGCCTCGGCACATTTAGTATACTGTCCATTTACCAAAGTAGAGGAAAGTTTCAATTTACAAGCAATTCATGATATTCTATATCATGGATTCAACCTAACACAGGTGACTTGTTATTAACTATGTTTATTTTTAGTACTCAATGATTATTTTCAGTACGATCATATGGAGTTTCCTGGAGTAGTGCCACGAACTTTCATTGGACCACTTTTTATTTCAATTTTAGCAGCACCCATTGTAGCTGTCATCCAATTTTTAAACATAAATAAATTCTGGGCCCAATATTTAGGTACATAATAAAGTGAAAATACAATTTAATTTAATAAGAACTTATTTGAAGTGTTGCTTTATTATATAACTAATTATCTTGCTTATCAAATTTCAATTTAAATGCTTTTCTATAAATAGTTAGGTATATTAAATAATGAGGGTTTCATGCAACAGATTTTATTACATGAATGAAACGAGTTCTTTATATAAGTTTTTCTGCTTAGCATCATTTATTCCCTTTTAAAAACGATTTTATTTTGCATCTCTAATAAACCTATTAAATAAGTACACAAAAAGTGTGTTTATTCCTTGAATAGTGTTTTTAGAGTTAGAGCATTTCGACATTATTTTAATAATTATTTAAAATTATTTTAGTTTTCATTTGTACAATTTTTTATTTAAACTTTTAATTTTTCTAAGTTTCTTGGTTTTATCAGTTTTTAGAATTTTATTTTTTTAAGTTTGTTGTTCCTTTTTACAAACTTAATTTTTAGTATTTTATAGTTTTTGGTTTCATTGATATTATTTACTGAAGGGGAGAAGGGCTATAGTAATTCATAATTATTATAGTGTGAGTACATGGTATAAAAAATAAAAGGTAGGATATCAACTGTGTTAAAAATAGGACAGCCACGCACATGATGTCACGCGTAGAGTTTGTATTGGCGCGAATTTAAAAATACTGTCGAAGTGTAAGGAAAATGTATGCTATTTACAGAAAATTCGTGAATATTAAAGGATAATATTTTATAAATTACCAACTATCTAAGGATATTTTTATGGAAAGAGCTATAAAGAAAAATTAATGCAAATAAATACATAAAAGAAATATTTATTTTAAGTAGAAGTATTTTCCTTTTTCTCTTCAATGATTAATTTTTGTTTGACAAATTCGAATGCATCTTTTTAATTTTGAAGAACATTTGACTTATAAAGAATATTTTTTATAATCAGGATAATGAGAAGGGTATCTTCACAGCTCGAATCTTCTCAACTAGGGACCCTGGGTAAAAATTTCGCATCATCTAGGGATGCTGTAAATTTTTATCTGATTAGAATTCGCAACTGGTGACTCATTTACCTGCAATAATTACCCAAATGAATATAATTAACTACTTATTTTATGAAAAAGATGGGATTTATGAGATGGGAGTATGAAACCAAAAGTAGGTTTTCAAAAAATATTTTTCATACATATAATGCAGAGCATAAAAATAATGTACCAAATACGAATAACTTCTACATTGTGGGTGTATATACAGAATTAAAATAAAATGTGACTGCATTTTTCCTGGACATGGTCACTGACATTTTTTTAATTCTTTTATCAAGTACATGTCGAAATTTTTTTTCTGACACATTGTTGTATATTGCGAAATTTTCAGCCCTCAAAGGGTTGAGTCCCCAGTTAAGAAATCCCCAGTTGGGTAAACCAATGTGAAGATCGGCTTTGAGAATCCTCTTATAATTGAAAGATTAAAAGTGTTTAGAACACACATGCCAATTTTATATTTTAAATTTATCTGCATGGCCACAGGCCAATGCAAGGGCGACTCCGGGTCGAGTTTTCGGTGGTGTGATGAGTGGGGGGGCTTAGCATTTCCTATTATAATTCCTTTTTTAGCATATTTTTATTAAAAGACTCATGGAATGTAAGAATTTTAATTCGGAGGGGCATGAACCCCTGGGACCACTACTGGAGCCACCCTCGGGCCAATTCTGACTAATCTCTTACTGTCGAGAAAAGTGAAAAAAATAATGACTTTTTTAAATCTTCTGCTTTGATTGTTACTTTTACATCCGTAAATTGCGATCTAGGTTTTTTTAACGTTTTACACTAATAAAACTCACAAAAAATAGAGTTTACAACATAATATAATAAAAATATCCACTTAAAATGTTATAAATTACTATATGAGACTTAAAAACCACTGCAACGTGCGTCTGTCATATGATATTTACTTCGCGCCAACTGTACTAACTCTACGCATTACATCAGCGCAGCCATGACACCATGCGCGATATCCCCCCCTGGTGTGAGTATATACTACTATTAGACATATTTTAAAAAACATTGTAAAGTGATAATTTATTTCCTTCTATGCACTTCATCATTTTTTCTATTAGTAGTAATAGTAATTAATAATGTAGCAAGGAATGTGTTTGTGATAGTAGTATCTACAAACATGGATGTTTATTACATTCTAAATCATGAAAGACTTAAAGTAGGCAATATCCGATAATTAATATATTTTCTTTACTCTCTCTTCTAGTTAGGACCATTCTTGCTACATGTGTGGTGTGTAGTTTCAGCGCTTTAGGCAAAACTTTAGAGAAACAATTCGGAACAAGATGGATGCAATGGTTTTTAGCAATAACCGTCACTCAAAGCCATTTTATGTATTACTTAAGCCGTCCACTGCCAAATATCATGGCTCTACCTCTAGGTATGTCACTACAAATTACGCAATAATTGAAATAGATTGATTATTATCATTTCAGTCTTACTGGCCTTGGATGGTTGGCTCAAAAACAACAACAAAACTTTTATCCTCTTCTCTGGGGCCGCCATCGTTATGTTCAGGTCCGAACTGGCCCTTTTTGCGGGCATATTATTACTTTATGACTTATATTATAAGCGTATAACAGTAAAACGGTAGGTTAGTAAACGCATTGCGATTGTTTATTAAAAACCGATAAGTTTTTATCTCTTTCAGCTTATTGCAGATAGCCGTTCCCGGTGGGATAGCTTTTTTGTTACTTACGGTTGTGATAGATTCAATATTTTGGAATAGACTGTTATGGCCTGAAGGAGAGGTGCTTTGGTACAACACTATACTCAATAAGAGCTCCGATTGGGGGGTATCCTTTAAAAAAATAAATTTTTTGTATTTTCTATTTGTTGTTCTTGAAATTCATTTACAATATAATTTTTAAAAACTTGTTAATAAGGGCATCGGTTAAATTTTGAAAATACATTTGAACTACTCACTTTAACTGCAGACAATTTATCCAAAATATTTTTTTTAAATGGTACATTTGAAATACTCATTTTAAAACCAATGAATTTATCATAAATAATACTTTTGAATGTTGTAGATTTGATCTAAACACTTTAATAATTGGTAATTTACTAGCAGTACAATTTTCGAACGTGGAACGTTTGAACTATTATTTCTGAATGCGATACATTTGAACTATTCACTTTAATTGCAGAAAATTGATCAAATATATGGTTTTTATAGATGGTACATTTGCACTACTCACTTTAAAAACAGTAAATTTATCTGAAATAGTATTTTAGAACCAGTGGAGGCTCGTGGGGTGGTTCACAGTAACAGAATATAGGTATCAATTCAGATGTATGAAAAAACTTTCAGTGTTTTAGAAAGTTTATAATATACCTTTCTAAAACACTGACAGTTTTTTACCTATATCTGTACCGGGATCTATATTCTGCTACTGTGAACCCCCAAATTTTTTATAATCTTTAATAATCTGTAAATTAGTAGGAGTACAATTTTCAAACGTGGAACATTTAAACTAATTCTGAACGCGAAACATTTGAACTATTCTTCAGAATTATCAGAATTATGCTTTTTATAGATAGTACATTTAAACTACTCACTTTACCAGTAGTAGTAGTAGTAGTAGTAGTATTAGAAATAGTATTTTAGAACATTGTATGTTTGAACCAACTTTAATAAAGCGGTAATTTACTGGCAGTACAATTTTCGAACGAGGACCATTAGAACTACTAATTCTGAACGCGGTACATTTGTACGATTCACTTAAATTGCTGCAAATTTATCAGAAATATGGTTTTTATAGATGATGCATTTCAACTACTCACTTTAAAACCTGTAAATTTATAATAGTATTTTAGAACATTGTACATTTGAACTATTTTCAATAATTGGTAATTTACTGGAAGTACAATTTTCGTACATAGAACATTTGAACCTAATTCTGAATGGCGTAAATATGAACTTTTCACTTTAATTACATCAAATTTAAAGAAATGTGCTTTTTATAGATGGTACATTTGAACTACTTGCTTTAAAACTAGTAAATTTATCGGAAAATACATTTTTCAGAAATAATAGTTCTGATAGTTGTACATTTTAACTACTCACTTTGATAATTGGTAATTTACCAGGTGTACAATTTTCGAAAATGAAATATTTTTAAAATACATATACCTACATATTAAACCTAGGTAATATTTACCATCTTGAAAAAAGGAGTGCATTTGAACTACTCACGTTAATGACGGAAAATTAATAATACAATTTTTGAATGTACGTTCGAACTACCCACTTTAATGCCAGTAAATTTATCAGAAATATGGTTTTGTATGTAATATTTTTTAACTACTGACTTTTTAACCCAGGAAATTTATTTAAAATAATATAGTTGAAAGTTGTAAATTTGAACTAATCTCTTTAATATTCGGAAATTTATTAGTTGTACTATTTTCGAATGCAGAAAATTTGAACTTCTATTTTTTAACGCAGTATATTTTAACTATTTACTTTACCTACAGCAAATTTATCAAAAATGGTTTTTATAGCTGCTACATTTAAACTATTCGCTTTAAAACCAGTAAATTTATCGGAAATGATATTTTTTAACGTTGTACTTTTGAATTATTCACTTTAATGGGCAATTTACCAGAAATGCAATTTTAGGATGTGGAACATTTGACCTACTAATTTTGAACGTGGTACATTTGAACTATTTACTTCAATTATAGCAAATTTATAAGAAATATGGCTTTTGTAGGTGATACATTTGAACTACTGACTTTAAAACCAGGAAATTGATCAGAAATAATAGTTTTGAAATTGTAACATTTAAACTACTAATTTTGATAATTGGTAATTTACCAGAATTACAATATTCGAACTCAAAACATTTGAACCACTAGTTCTGAACTACTTAGCTCAAATCCAGTATATTTATCATAATTATTTTTGAATGTTGTACATTTGAACTACTCATTTTGATAATTGGCATCAAGTACAGTTTTAGAACGTGGACCATTTGAACTACTATTTTTGAGAGTGGTACATCTGAACTACTTTAATAATCGATAATTTATCAGAAATACGATTTTTGAACCTGGTTCATTTAAACTACATGAGTTAATAATCATATGAGCTATATTTTTAGAAGATCGACGCATCGTGAAACGTAGAATAATAATTATTCTCGAAAAAAGGGCAATATTCCTAAATATTTAAATTTAAATGCCACATTAAAATTAGTAGGACTCTGTTTTGAATATTTTATTCTTTTACCAGTTTTAATATGTACATTTATTTATATTCGTCAAAAATTTATTGACTTGAATACATTTCTATTTTTCACTTAATAGTACACATAGTTAGTCATATAAACAAATCAAACCATTTTTGATTCAAAATGATTTTGAGATCTTTATCATGCATAGCAATGATAGAATTTTTTTATCTTGTTTCTGATATGGTACTATGAAATATCTATTCTCAAATCAACATTTCCTTAACTATTTTTAAAGACGTCTCCATTCTTTTGGTACTTTTATTCCGCCATACCTAGAGGAATGGCAGCTTCGGTCTTTTTTTTGCCCGTAGGTTTTGCTTTGGACCAAAGAGTGAGACAACTAGTATTTCCGTCTTTATTGTTCGTTTTGCTGTACTCATTTTTGCCTCATAAAGAATTGAGGTTCATTATTTATGTATTTCCATTTCTAAATGCGGCTGCAGCGACTGCTTGTCACAGGATGTGAGTAAATGGAACTAATATTTCGATTTATGTCTATCAAATAATTATATTTCAGATGGGAGAATCGTAACAAATCTCCAATTTACCATTTGCTGTCTATGGGCGTAGCTGGCCATCTAGCGGTCAACATTGCGTTCACTCTTTTCCTATTGAGCGTTTCGAATACTAACTATCCAGGAGGCTTGGCAATTTCTCGACTACATCGACTTTGTAGAGACGAATCAAATGTGAGAGTACACATATCGAATTTAGCCGCCCAGACGGGCATTTCAAGATTTACGCAAATCAATACTAATTGGACGTAAGTGCCCTACGTAGGGCGCCAAATTCAAACTAAATATTTTTTTCTTTCAGATATAGCAAAACTGAAAATCTTAGACCCGGTGATTACGAACTATATCGTTACACCCACCTCATAGCTGAGGGGAAAAGCAAATTTTCTTCCAATTTGAAACCGTACTCGGGCACCCATGACGTCATAGACACAATAGAAGCTTTCCATCAAATATCTTTCAACTATTTAACTATTCCTCCAATCAAAATAAAAACCAAACCTGTATTGTTCATACTTAAAAGACGAAGCAATTATAAAGAGTATTTGAGGATAGACGATGACAGTTTGGAGTACGAAGCTGGACAATTTGATAAACAGAGGATCGAAGAAATAAGGAATAATTCGGCTGAGGACTCAAACGAAGAATCAATTCAACAAGAACGTTTAGAACTTGTTCGAAATGGTGATATGTCAGAAGAAGAGGCAGGAACAAAGGACTCTGAAGAGAATTTAAAGAAAACTGAGACACTGAAATTTAGTGAAGAAAAACTAGTCACGGAGGTTGAAGACGATGTTGAAGACAATGTAGAAGATACTGAAGAAAAAACAATACCTAAAAATAAGAAAATAAACGAAAAAGTTAATAGAAAACAAGATTTTAAGGATGCCGAAGAGGAGAAGTTGGATACAAAGACAGCGAATGAGATAACTAGTAAAGAAAACGCAGAAATTAATGATAATTTTCGAAAGAAAGGAAAAAAATTGGAAGAAACAACGAGTAAAGAAAAAATTGTTCAGTCTACTAAAGAAATTAAACAGGATTTGCAGAATAACGTTGCTAAGGTCATTTCTGCGAGTAATAGCGAACAAGATGTAACCAAAGCTGAAGAAATCACCGATGGTTTTCGGAAGAAAGGAAAAAAAATAGATACAACCAAAATAAATACAGAAAAAGTTGTGCCCAAAGAAGATAAAAATAATTTACAGAAAAATCCTTCTCAAGAAGAAGATACTGCGGATGATACTGAAGATGTTTCCGGTGATAAAAAAATGACGGATCAGTTCCAAAACAAAAAATTGGACAAAATGAAAATCAGTAAAGAAAAAGAGGTTTTACCCAAAGAAGAAAAATATAATTCGCAGGAGGAAGGTTATGCTGATGTTAGTGAAGATGTTAAAGAAACTGCCGCTCATATTACAAAGAAAATGAAAAAATTGGAAGCATCAAAACCGCTTAAAGAAAAATTGGTCCACTCAAAAGAGGTTAGAACAGTTCAAACTCTGCAAAAAGACGTTAGTGAAGAAAAAATAAAAATTACAGCAAGAAAATCAGACAAATTGGAAAAAAGACCAAAAGAAATCATACAAGAAAACGTAAAGAAGCTAAAGAATGCAAAGCAGGAAAAAAGCGAAGAAAACAAAGCACTCAAAGCATTAAAATCGATAAGACCCCAAAAACCGGAAGAAACCATCGAAGATACGGAAAATAAGCAACACGTCAAGCAAAACATAAGGAAAATCATCCAAAAGTACAGAAGGAAAAAACTGGACGACATTCACATCGAGCAAGTCGATCATCCGAAAGAAAACATAAAAAAGCTGATCCTAGAAGACAAGCTGAAAGAAGAACGGGAAGAAATCGCTAAGATCCAACAACAAATAGCGGATTTGATTGATAGCAATCCGAAGATAACCAATAAGGAATTAATAAAGACCAAACTAGAAGAAACGATTAATAAAGAATTGGTTAACGCTATCAAAATAGATGTAACGAAGAAAAGCGACGATACGAAGAAGAAAACGGGCAACGATGTGAAATACAGACCACAGGATTTTAAGAAGGCGAAAGACGACAAGAAGTTTACCAAAGAATTTGTGATATCAGAAGAAGAACTGGTCAAATATGACCTACAGGCATTGCAAGAAAGCGAAGAAGATTTCTTGACTGGTGAACAGGGTCTAATTATAGAAATAAACGCCGTGAAGCATTCAGAGCGGCATTCGGGTGAATTGGATAGCCAGTTCGAAGATGAAAAAATGGCGTTTTTGCAGAAATTTAAGCGAGCAAATGAGAAATTGGAAGACATAATGATGATTATAGATGAAATCGTCGATACCATAGAGATAACCGATGAAGATTACTACGATGAGGAGAGTTTGGGGTGATTTTTGGCGTGCAATGATTGTTGATTTTTTTTTTGATTAAAACGTTGTGTTTGAATGGTTTTTCATTTCAAAAATAAACGTCTGAAGTTTTTTCTACCTCTCGAGGGTTAAAAGTTCGCGATAGTATTCCGTGTGTTGACAACGTTTTGTATGTGCCATATTCGTAAATTTGGACTTTTTAACCTATATCAATAAACTCCGATATCAGATTATGTTGGCACAGGTTCAGGTACCTGCTTAAATGATTGTTGCAAATATTTTAATTATAAAAATTGAGTGCCATTAGTGCGTAATTGTGTTATGGACACGCAGACAAGTTTCAAATAAAAGTTATATGGATTTTAAAAATACATTAAAAATAATTTTGGATATATAGGGTTTGTCTTTTTGCCTGGAAAATAAAAGTGTATATTTTTTTAAATAGTATTTTATTTCAGTTTTTATAAAGGTTTTAAATACTATATTCAACCTTAAAATGTTTTTTAATAATATTACAGGATTGCCAAGCAATTAATTTTTTTTATGAAATTGGAGAATAATGCAGACCTAAAATTAATCATTTATGTAGGTTTACAATGATTTAAACATTGTTTAAAATACAGATTTATAGGAAACTAAGTTAGTGGTAGTATCACCACCGTAGAAAACAGACGTGTTATTTATCTTGATAGTTTATTAAAATTATTTAGAGACAATGTTAGACAGTGAATAAAATCGCTAATTCTCAGATAAACAAATGAATAATAGATAACTAACGGTCTGGATCTGTTTGAATCCAGTATGAACCGTTTTTTCTATTACTTTCTCTTTCTTTGATGTGATTCGTCTATTTTAAATAGCAGCGCCAAAATTTTCTGTCAACAAGCACTAGGGAACTGTCAGTTTTGTTTGTACATTTTGTATGATTTTATATTACCAGATCATATTTTTGAAGTATTTATAGTTTCTAGAATGTATTTTTAGCGAATTGTATTACTTGTAAGTCTAAAAATTACTATTCAATGTTTGTTAGCCCCAAAATATACATTTGGAGAAGTTCCACGTCGTTTCAAAGGTAAGTAAATAAAAAACATGGGTACACCATTATTGTAGAATATTATTAATAATTTTTTACGCAGGTGTCCTACAAACTACGCTCGTTCCACGCCCTTCTAATCACTACAGAAGAAAGCGAGCGAAGCGAACGCGCCGGCCTTCGTTTCTAAATTCGCGCGAATTTCCAAACGTAGGCCTGGCGCGCCCTTTTTCCCCCTTTATTGACCTACACCATAAGAACACGCTTACGCAAAAGATAGCGAGTGCCTCCGGCCGACTTTTCGAAATTCGCGCGAATTTCGAAACGTCTCCTAAATGTATAAAATTGTCTACATGAAATAAATTATCTCTATCTATTGTAATATTACTCACCAGAAGTTACTTGGCCTCTGCCGTAAATTTCTGATTCGACCGAAAAAGATAAACTCTATACTTATAGCCTTTGGTACACAAATATCTATTTCTATAAATGACATTAAAAATTTATGAAAAATGTATTTCTCATCTATAAAATTGTTATATATGATAAAGAAAGCTATTAGTTTATTAAAACAAAAATAAAACCTGAATCGATAACAAATCTCTGAAAATGTTGCTAGAGTTGGGGCCGTTTTTATAGAAAATTTAATGTTACTATTTTATACTAAAAAACTACAGTTAATTTATTTTAGCGTTTTATTTAAATGTAAATATATTAACTGAATGAAATTAATGCCACTAGTCAAGATTTTAAGGCCTCGTCACTTCAACCTTTGTTTTAAATGCATTTTTCTTTAAATTTGATACGCCCATGGAGACCAAAAACAGTCAAAAGTTCGTAGATTCTGGCTTTACACAAAGTCTATTTTAAACGGCAACCGTTAGTTATCTATATTTCATTTGTTTATCTGAGGGCTTATTGAACAAATCATTCCGAAATAATACGCGATTTTTAAAAAGTAGTGAATTTCGTCCAAAATTAATATTTCGGAAACGGCAATTGTAATAAATGTTTCTCTACTGTAATAAATGTGTAATAAATTCCCCGATAGTTATTTTGTCGGCGTTGTATAAGATTTGTTGAAACTTCCGACGGTACTTGGCCTACAACCTAATATTTCGGAAACGACAGGTGTAATAAATGTGTCACTTATTGTAATAAATGTGTAATAAATTCCACGTAGTTATTTTGTCGGTGTTCCCAATAAACACAGTTAATCGGTACCGTACCTGGGCCGAAGGAGGCTTGCCGGGTTCGGCCCGATATACGGGTTTAGCTTCGGCATATATAGATAGTGAATGTCCGCCCAGCCGATTGTCGACAGCTCACTACATTGTAGCCGCGTTCATATATCTATATAGTTCGACCCGTAAGGATGTCTCCCATGCCCAGCTAGCCAAATATTCACCGCGTTTGGCCTCCCATGTCTGAAGAGCCAAATATGGACCATATGCGATTTCTACTTCTAAATTACGTCAAATGGTACGGTCCTCCCGACTCGAAGCAACCCCAAAAACGTCAATCCGAGTCATGGTAATGGCCTCTACTTTTGGAAGTTCAGTGACTTGCTAACAGATGTCACTATAAGTTTATTAATAAATTCTAAAATATTACGAATAAAGCGATCATAACCTAAAATAATTTTAGTAGCGGCTATGTAAATTTTCGACCTCCCAGATTTTTTGTGCCACATGCCGAAATCAGTGATAGAAGTAAAACAAACTTAAGTTTGGTACACCCACGTGTCGATCCGATGGTTGCGCCGTAGATTTGTTGACTATCGTTACCATGCCAACCTCTAACACGGCGATGGCCAGTACCGTAGCGTAAAGAGGCGAATAGGTGAAACAATTTGCATCTAACAGCGCTATGTGGTATATCTAGTGCTCTTTTTTATTCAAGTGGTGTATTTCCTCATTCTTATTTTTTTTTAATTTAGTGCCGTAGTAGTTATAGTAGAGTAGCAATAATAGTTAGTGTATAAGTTTAGTTATAGTATCTACATAGTTAATTTAGAAATAAAAGTGATTTGGCTCCGAAAAAAACGTCGTCGTGACAAAAAAATTAAGTTAAGCCCTGGAGAAACAGAAACACTTAAAAATGTAATCTATGACTTCTACACCATCGAGAAAAGATCACCTACACTTGCTGGTAAGTATATAAGTTTTCGTTCCTGTTACGTATTAGCTGGAAATCTGGCAACCATGTATTTGTTTTAGCGCTTTTGACAGCAGTCATTTTCATGGCTCTTTTTAGTCTGTAATTTGTTGCACAGTTGTTCTGTACTTTACAGGAATTAAAGTGTGTTAATCTCGATGATTGTTTTAATTCCAGGTAAAATTAAGGTACAAGACCTTACATTTTCTGGCGACGAGGATGGGATCCCGCGGATTTCATTAAATGTGTAAAATTAGTGACTCAACTAAACTAGTGTAATAATAGTACGATCAAAATGGCGATGCTCGGTAACATCGAACAATTTAACGCAAATGATCCTACCGGATGGGAATCATACCAAGAAAGAATCGAATTCTTTTTGGCAGCTAACGGAATCACGGATGTAAATAAGAAAAAAGCGGTTTTTCTTAGTGTTTGTGGGTCATCTACATACGAAATTTTACGTTCGCTAATAGCACCGACCAAGGTGATAAACAAGTCGTATGAGGAAATAGTGACAGTGTTACAACAACATTTTACGCCGCGTACTTCGGAGATCGTCTACCGATTTCGATTCTACAGACGGGACCAACAGCCCGGGGAAACATTTTCCGTGTATTTAAAGGAATTGCGTCATTTAGCTGAAAAATGCGGGTTCGAAAACTTAGAAAACATGCTTCGTGATAGGATCGTTTGTGGAGTTCGCGACGAAAACCTACAGCGCCGTCTATTAGCTGAGGACAAAATCACGTTCCAAAAAACTCAAAATTTATGCCTCGCCCACGAGGGGGCAGCCCACAGTCTAGCAGCGATACGTGAAACATCGAATTCATACAATTCGGTGGCAACGTCATCGACAGCTTCTGTAAACAAAGTCGGTAATTCCCACAATAACAAACAATCGCGCGGAAGTGGGTCAAGATCATCAGCTGTTAATTTTGCGGGACGTAAAAATAAATGTTTCCGCTGTGATGCTGAACATTCACCGGACACGTGCGGTTTTAAAAACGTAAAGTGTCGTTTTTGTAATAAAGAGGGACATATTGAAAAAGCTTGTTTCTCAAAGAAAAGGCAAATAACAAGAAAAAATGTTCATAACATAGATGGACAATCATCGTCGGACGATGAAGTTAATAACATTCACAATCAAATGGATTTTTCAATGAATAAAATTCAGACGGATAAAATTACGGGTAAAATATTAATTAACGTTAGAATTAATGAAAAAAATGAAAGTATGGAGGTTGATTCGGGTGCCGCATTTACAGTAATGGGAAAGTCCACTTTTCAGAACATTTTTTGTAATAATCCGCCTGTTATTCGCTTTTCGAATAAAATTTTACGGGATTATCAACACAAGATCATATCGATAATAGGCGAGTGCGATGTTCTGGTGAAATATGGAAGCAAAAGTGCTATTTTGCCACTCATCATTGTTGACGCCGACAGAGCCAGTCTCTTAGGTAGAAATTGGTTTTCAGAGTTAGGTTTGTCCATCACTGGGGTAAGTCAAATTTCAAATTTTACTAACTATATCAAAGAATACCCGGAAGTGTTCAATGAAAATTTAGGACAATACAAAGGTCCACCTGTTACGTTTGACCTAGACTCTACAGTAAAACCAATCACATTAAAAGCTCGAAATATACCTTTTGCACTTAAAGACAAGGTAGATAAAGAATTAGAAAGATTAATAGAACAGGGGGTGCTCGAACCTGTAACATATCCAAAATGGTGTACTCCTATTGTTGTTGTTCCGAAAAACAAAGACGAAGTTCGTATTTGCGGTGATTACCGGAGTACTATAAATAAAGCTTTACGTGCTGACACTTATCCAGTGCCGTGCGTGCAAAATATTTTGTCTGCATTGAAGGGGGGTACAGTGTTCGCAAAACTTGACATGGCTCAAGCCTATTTACAATTAGTTGTAGATCATACTGCAGCCGAAGCACAAACCATTATTACGCACAAGGGTGCATTTCTTTGTAAAAGACTTCAATTTGGTGTCTCGGTGGCGCCACAAATTTTTCAACGTTTTATAGACACAAGACTCTCCGGTATACAAGGAATTTTACCGTATTATGACGATATTCTGATAGTAGGTGTGTCGGATACGGATTTGGAGCAGAAAGTGCGGGCAGTGCTTTCTCGTTTTCGCGAGGACGGTTTACATTTACGGAAAGACAAATGTGTATTTAAGGCCGATAAAATAACTTTTTTAGGTTTCGAAATA